CTTGAATGTCATGCATTTTAACCTTTTTTTTGCAATTAACAATAAGTACAGCAAATCAGCTGTTCAAGCTTTTTCAGCAAAGTCAAGTAGTAAATAGTCATGGAAACTAAAATTATTTTCTGGTGTTAGTCCCTCTGGGCTGAGCTTGTTAGCTCGGGTGCAACTGCCTGTGAAGGCCTCATAAGACTTTCAGACTTGAGCTGACACTGCAGAATAGTGTAGAGGTGTCTCGATCTCTTCCCTAATTATTTATTTGGTTAGATTTGAGGTAGGTGGTCCCTTCCAGAGAACAGTAGCTAGCTGAATCAAGAGCCTTTAAGAGGAATTTGAAACTTTGCTCAGGCCATTAGTCAATCAAATATGATTAAACACTTAACTTCTCAGAGAATACCAGGATAGCAAGAAAAATAAACAGATACACATGTCACTGAGTCATAAAAGAATTTCAGGAATGAAATATCATGCTTTTCCCTGTGAAAATCAAAAGATTCACACTTTTTCATTCTAAGTTCCTCTCAAGAAAAATCCATTTGGAATATCCCAGACAAATGGAGATGGAAAGACTCTTTGAATATTTACTCTCTCTTTGAAGATTTGTTTGCAGAGTTGTACTTTGAGTAATGTTACGTTTTCAGCTTTTATGGAGGTCACAGTGGAAGATGCCATTATCACACTAATAACTTATTTATATACAGGACAAATTCTCCAATTTGGCTAACCCTAGTAACAATGTTAAAGAATTGTGGATGCCAAACTGGAAATAGGTAAAAGTAATTTTCTTTAATTGTGCTCGTAAATATACAGTTAATAAAGCTGGTGGATTACATCCAATTTTTTCTCTAGCGCTCATCATTTTTAAGGGATGGTTCAACTTGTCACATCTTGACTTGCTTTCTAAAAGGAAGTAAAATTTTAGGTATCTTCCTGAGGGGAAGGAAAAAAGATGGCTGATAAATTTCAAAGGGATTGATTGTGATCAATAACTATAGTTCTTAATGAGAGGTGATGCTAAACAGCACTCGATGGTGAGCTCCAGGAGATCTTGTACGAGTAGGAGAGTTGTAGACTATGCAGGAGAGGACATGTATTTTGGGGCTTATAATTAGAAATAAGACATGCCTTGGCACTCAGTAAAGGTTGAGACTGGAACAAAGAAGCTTTCCTTCTTTCTAATGGTTAGATTAGAAGAACAGCAGTAGCACTTAATTTTCTGACTTTTCTGTGGTAATTGCACCTAGGGTGTCTGACTGTCTTGGAAGCAGCAATAATTTAAGTCTTGCAAAACCCATCAGAGTTAGGGGAAATACTACTAACCCTCTTTTGCACATTCATTGTAGTGAGGTGTACAGGGAGACTATGGAGGAGGAGTCACAGATGCTAACTTCTTTCGATTTCAGTGGGAGTTAGGTTGCTAAATACCTTTATGAATCAAGTCTTGACTGATTTACTCAGGGTCATTTGGGAGTTTAAATAGAAGTAAAGTAAAAGCTGATTTCCTTGGCCATAGTCTAATAGTCTCTTCACCGTAGTATAATCCTTTCTCTCTCTTTCTTATGCTCCTGGTGCACAAGGACTTCTGTCGTTCTCAGGAATAGAAACTGAAGAAGCATCTCTGTATGTTACAGGTATCTGCTGGGTCAGCCAGGCTAGCTCTGTCTGTAGATACTGAGGGGTTTAAACATATGCTTTTCTCACTTAATTCAATGGAATTGTAGATTATTAAGACCTTTCATGTTTGTTTGTTGGGTTTTTTTTATAGCCAGCATTGTTTCTGTCAGCTTTGAGTATGTCCCCTTTCTCTAGAATGCAGTTAAGTAAGTGGTCATCTGTAGTGTTCTTGTAAAATATGTATGAAAACATTGTAGTGAATAGGATCCTAGCCTATTGGACTAGTGACCATGACACTAGGCTATTAAGCGGATGACATCTCTGAGCAATTAATCGATTTAAATATATTTCTGTGGTGGTTACTAACCCTAACTTGGTGGTTAGTAATTTGTTTAGATTTTTTGTCCTGTTTCAGACACTAATTTCTTGAGATTTCGATACAAGTAGTTTCTTTTTAAAAAATATACCTTTAAAGTTACATTTTCTTTCATATTCTTGAGCTGCTGCTGCTTTCTCTCAATCCTGTCTTTGCAGATGTGCAGCGCTTTGAGAACAGAAAGCCCAAGATACCTGTACACTTATTATTATCCCTTTGTTTTATGTTGCAGCCAACGGTTTTCACATTACTGCCTACTTTATG